ATTTATTGAATGTGTTATTTGCACATTGTCGTCTCTAAGTTTGAACTGATATTATAAAAGAAGAGCAGTTTGGTAACACTAATCGCCCAACTCTTGGTTTATTGAATGTGCTATCTGCACATTGTCGTCTCTATGTTTGAACTGATATTATAAAAGAAGAGCAGTTTGGTAACACTAATCGCCCAACTCTTGATTTATTGAATGTGTTATTTGCACATTGTCGTCTCTATGTTTGAACTGATATTATAAAAGAAGAGCAGTTTGGTAACACTAATCGCCCAACTCTTGGTTTATTGAATAGTAGGATTTGACCGTTACTCTTTCAGCGCACCCTCGACTCCAAAGTGTAAAACGCGTTTATTTATTTATTTGGGGGGGGGGGGGTCGCTAACGGCTGAGAACCATAAGCCCTCGGATTCACAGTCTGAGCAGGCTATCCACTAGGCTATGCCCGGTTCGATCTTCATATTAAGAAGTCGTTTCGTTATGTTCTTTTGGTATCACTTACATCTGGCCGACAAGTTCCAGCTTGACACTCAACTTTCCGAGTATAATTGTACTTACTTGATTTATCTGTAAATTATACAGGATGGGCCATTTGGCAATATTTTATGATCATTGATATCCAAATAATGAAATAATTTTGACTGATACGACATTTGTCCAATGTTATTCGTCACTTAATAGAATCGTGTTATGGATAACCATTACCACTTAATGAAACTTGATTTTTCATCTGCAATTTCTAAGCCTACCACTTTGACTTCTATGTATGACGTACCTGTTTTGTATTTTTATATATCATTATTAATGTGAAAAAGTTGTGAAGAAGTATATAAGATTGTTCGGTAACTATGGTAACAATTTTCGTATCCAATCATCACTGTCCTGGCCATCCACATGGCCTGTTACGATACTAGATAAGAGCCCCGACTTCCTTTGTTTCAAATCAATTTAAGTTTACTGATTTGTAAATACACATACAATTTATCAACTTCCTGGAGGGGCAAATTATAGGGTCTTAGGAAGCGAAGTTCTCCTATTTCACGATAACAAAATCATACTAAACGTGGAATTTTAGCGTTTTGAGGAAACTTATATCTGTAGTGTTGAACTGTAAAGGTAAAGGAAGAGAAGATGTAATTCCAGTATGGAATAAACTGTCGCACAACATAGCTAGTGAAGAAAGATAAACAGCTTGCTATCGTAAGAAACACAATTGCAACTAGAGAAATAACGTCTCCTGAAATTTTAAATAACATAATTCACCCGGCTTTAGGCCTAAAAAGCGACACAGGAGCTGTGTTCACAAGCTTTTCCAAACGCGCATAACCGAACAGAAGAACAATCATCCAGAGCTACAAAAGTGCTATCTGGTATATGATCAACATATTGGATGAAACATATAACTACCGAAGTGTTTTTGATCTTCCTCAGTTTTCTTCGAATGAGATGAGTGTTACTTGGTTTGGTTTTGGTTTGGTTTGAATTTCGCGCAAAGCTACACGAGGGCTATCTGCGCTAGTCGTACCTAACTTAGCAGTGTAAGACTAGAGGGAAGGCAGCTAGTCATCACCACCCACCGCCAACTCTTGGGCTACTATTTTAACAACGAATAGTGGGATTGACCATCACATTATAACGCCCCCACGGCTGAAAGGGCGAGCATGTTTGGTGTGACGGGGATTCAAACCCGCAACCCTCAGATGCCGGGCCTGAGTGTTACTTAACCAACGCACTAGGTCCTGTACATTTCATCGAAATAATATATACATTTTTTCATGGGAGTTAATGTAGGCGTATAAATTGTTATAATGAAATGTTATACATCTAAAGGGCAAGAAACATGCCAAGATGAGCTGTGTTATAGATATGTATGGCAAGAAACATGCGAAGATGAGCTGCGTTATAGATATGTATGTCAAGAAACATGCCAAGATGAGGTGTGTTATACATCTGGAGGGCAAGAAACATGCCAAGATAAACTGTGTTATACATCTGGAGGGCAAAAAACATGCCAAGATGAGTTATGCTATACATCTGGAGGGCAAGAAACATGCCAACATGAGTTATGCTATACATCTGGAAGGCAAAAAACATGCCAAGATGAGTTATGCTATACATCTGGAGGGCAAGAAACATGCCAAGATGAGCTGTGTTATACATATGGAGGGCAAGAAACATGCCAAGATGAACTCTGCTTACTATTAAATCATTACTGCAAATTAGAATAATCTCCTACAACATCATCGGTCGTCGAAGAATAAGATGTAAGGTCTACTCACTCATTCTAGCATCAGTACTATAGATGATGCACAGACAGAAGTACCCGGTGTATTACACAATATTTTAGAAATGTTTTATGTGGTGGTGGTGTTAATTTGAATCAAGTAACTTAAGGGCTATGACAAACTATATTTGATCTGCTTCATTTTATAAATATATGATAAAGTAATTTAGATAGTGTTCAAGTTTTTATAATTAAGTTATCAAGTAAAATGTAGTAGATATAACATGATACGGATTTGGATGCTAATTTTATATTTTTAATATACTGTCAACAGTTAGACCATTACTCGTGAAGATAATTTCACCACATCAGTCCTTTCTTGCTGGCCAGAAATCTGAACTCCAGTGTCACAGTTACGGTTCTAAGCCTGCAGCTCATATTTCCTGGTGGAATGAACGCAAAGAACTCCGTACCTCGGTAACGACTGCAAGGACTGATAATTTCACTTACAGCAAATTGAGTTTCACCCCATCTGTTGATGACAACGGAAGTTACTTGTCTTGCCGTGCAGATAATCCACTGATACCAAATAGCGGCTTAGAGGACGGCCGGATATTGAATATTCATTGTAAGTCACAAAAACAACGAAGCTCATTACTTACTTCACATTATCAAAATAATACAAGTATTTACTTTTAGATAATATGAATGTTAAACCATATGTACATAGTAGCTAAAAAAATGTGTGTCACACACGAACTGTTTGTTATAATGCGTGAAAGTGAGAAACCTCACTACTATTTTGTAATGTTACTCTTTTGTTTGTATATTCCTGGTGTTGAAGTAGTCTTTAGTATTACTGTTCTAAAATTTGGAAAATGTTAGCCAAATTATCATTATTTGATTTCGTTATTTAACTTTTTTAAATAGCGTGGAAATAAATATATTTTTTTCATCGGGGGAAGAACTACGTACTCATTTTTTTTGTTTTTTTTTAATTTCGCGCAAAGCTACACGATGGCTATCTGTGCTAGCCGTCCCAGTACACAGTTACTTAGTTTATCATAAATATAGGCCCGGCATGGCCAGGTGGTTAGGACGCTTGACTCGCAATCTGAAGGTCGCGAGTTCGAATCCCCATTTCACCAAACATGCTCGCCCTTTCAGCCGTGGGGGCGTTATAATGTGACCGTCATTCCCAATATCCGTTGTTAAAAGAGTAGCCCAAGAGTTGGCGGTTGGTGATGATGATTAGTTGCATTCCCTCTAGTCTTAAACTGCAAAATTAGGGACGGCTAGCGCAGATAGCCCTCGTGTAACTTTGCGCGAAATTCAAAACAAAAAAACAGCCAATACTTATAAATGTATCTCAGAATAAAATTGTTAATTCGTTTTCTTAACCTTAAATTCCTCTTCTACAATCATTAATTAATGCGAAATTTTTCCTTCATAGACACACATTCCAGCAATCCTCAAATTTTAGAAAAATAGTCTATAATTTCTTTCAATTCTTCACATTTTTTTATAATTTTGATATAAAGTAATTCTACTTTTTCTAAATGTTTCATAGCACGAACTTTAGTTTTTCTAATAATATTATAATTACTATTATTGCTTACTTGATTATAGCATACTTTGTCCTTGCTTGGCGTTTAAAATGATTTATTTAGAATCTGCCAGGTGAAATAGTTATAACAATTGAGCTGATTTTTTTGTCAAATATTGTTAGCCGCGGCTCGTAGAATGGCTCCATCATCTCTTGACCGAATTGAGATCTAATTACAGTTTGGACTCAGAAAGTTAAACCCTTTCGATTGATGTATTTGACCATGTCTAAGGTCTCAAGATTAATTTACTTTAGCCCTGCCTAAAAGAATTTCAATTCGAGAATAGGCTGGTAGAGATCCAAATCGGTAGATAAAATCGAATCGGGCATACGGGCGCCCCACGCTTGGAATTGCTGGCGCACTAATAAAAAGGAAAAGAAGTGTCATAGATCAATTTACTCTAACCCTGCGTATAAGAATTTCAAGTGCCGCGGCTATCGAGAATTCCTTCTTGTTTTTATACGTACCACTTTAAGGTCTTCTGGTTTTTCATTCTATAGAGAAGTTTTATGCATTTACTTCAATAAAAAAGTAAAGCCCAAAGAGAATGAGTTCACAAAGCTAATAAATTATACTCACAAATTAAAGATGAAAGAGATAAGCCGCATGATGCAAATCTAAGATCGACGTAAATCTAGCAATAACCAACATATTCTGCTGGTCTCATTTCAACAATGTGTATTTTCTTTAGATTATTATCAAACTAGCAATAACCAACATATTCTGCTGGTCTCATTTCAACAATGTGTATTTTCTTTAGATTATTATCAAACTAGCAATAACCAACATATTCTGCTGGTTTCATTTCAACAATGTGTATTTTCTTTAGATAATTATCAAACTAGCAATAACCAACATATTATGCTGGTCTCATTTCAACCATTTTTATTTTCTTTAAATTATCAGATTGCTTGTGGCAGTGTTTCTCAACGTTTTTCAGCTCGCGACACACTTTTAATGTTTCAAACTTTTTACTGCACATGGAAATATGTCTGTATGGTAAGCCTAGTGGCACGCCACTGATTAAGACAGGTAGAAATCACTCTTATACTGTGTATCAAAGAAAAAAAGAAATAAAATTTTAAGTTTAAAAAAATATATTAAATTTACATTACTAAATAAAAATTACTTAATAATCACAAAAATTCCTCGGCATACAGTTTGAAAACTGTTATATTACTTTTGCTTACTGTAGATGGTGTAAGTTGAGTAAGGATTTTCTATGTACGATCATAGATCTCACGAATCATTAATTTGTATGAAACCATTGAACGTTTCAATGCTGAAAACCCATTCTTCATTATAACTGCTGCATGCTTCATTTACTCGTATTGTGGTTGTGCAAGAAGTAGAAACGTATGGGATTATGTATACCTAGAGTAATACCCTTAATGTTACACTGCCAAAACATTAAACTTATAGCTGTGATTATATATAGTGTAATGACCTCTTAGGACGAACTTCAGTTTTAAATAAAGTTTCTGTTCTTTTCAGAAACGACAAGTTTATACAGCTATAATTTTTTACTTGGTAAAATAACAATGACAAAATGTGGTCCTGGATTATATAGTTGCTAGGAATGTTATATTGTTGTAATAGGTAAAAACAAAACATACTACTAAACAAAGCTTAAGCAACAAAAATATGTTTAAACGTTATGTGTGATAATTTCATCTGGTTGTAGGCCTAAAAATAGCAACAAAAATATGTTTAAACGTTATGTGTGATAATTTCATGTGGTTGTAGGCCTAAAAATAGCAGCAAAAAAGTTGTTTTATGTAACTGTTTTGCGTTTTTAACAATGATGATGTTTCAAGATGATTAGGAAATATTTCATGTCATAAATTCCTCCACAGTATTAAAGCATTTCTATAATTATAGCTAAATAGATAAATATTTGATTGATATTTTTCTTGCATTAAGCTTTTCGTCTGGCTATAATCATAGAAACTTAATGATTGATAGTGTAACATTAATTTTTCATTACTTTTTACTGAAGATCCACCTCTAGTTTCACTGAAAGTTTCAACGAGTACAGATTTAGAAAATATTACCGAAGGAGATGGAATTTCCATGAAATGTATCATTCAAGTAAACCCTGCACTGAAGAAATTAGAGTGGCTTCAGAATGGACGTGTATTACAAATAAACCAAAGGCATGATATCATTATGACGGATGAAAAATTAGACATAAGAAGTTTAAAGCCACACCACAGGGGGACCTACAAATGTGTAGCTTATAATGACGTTGGCCGAACAGAGAGTAATGGAATCAATCTTAACCTAAGATGTAAGTGAATGTTTAAAATCAACCATTAGATAAACAACTTAGAAGTTTCGTGGAATATTCATTTAATTTTTCGCATTATTATTAAACATGTCTTATATAAAATGTTCTTTTATTTCTCGAAAGATATATTTGAACTTTTAAGATAAAATCGATTTAAGAAGAAAAATAAAACGATATTGGTATCTAAGAATTGTGATTTTATTCCTATATTAGACGTAAAGCACTTAATTTAATGTGAACTGGATATTGGAGAATAAAAAAAAATTAATGTTTCAAGTAACATATATTGCAATTTTAACGTTTTGGACGGATTTGGTATGGAAATTATGTCTTCGATTTCAGCAAGTAATATAACATAATCTTTTGGCAATACATTGAATGTTATTTTAGAGGAAATTACGAAATGAAACTTTATCTACTGAAGTACAATATGACTATTAAAAACTATACGAAATGTACCTTTACCACGTATGTGATATTTCGGACACTTTTTACCTAGATTTCCTGAATAACACACATATCTAGAGGATTATAAAGTGAATAGAGAGATAATATTTACTGGCCCTCAATCTTATTGACTTTGAGTCTTTGAATGCTACGTGGTTTGCATTTAAATATTGTGTTTATTCACAGTATCTTTGTTCACTCAATCTTCTCTAGAAGATTTGCATTAAGAATGTTGACGGCATTACACCAGATACGTCACAGCATAAAAGAAGAATAAGGTGTAATGAAACTGTAATGTGTAACTGGATTAGAAGTTTTTTCTGGACTGTATCTACCTAAAATGTAGACGAGGTCGAGCCTCCTTAGAACTAAGAGAAAAACGTCGTCTGCTCTTACAGTCCAGACATATGCAAGCCATAAAAACTTCCAATCCTTTGCGCTGTGTAATATATGAAGAACATAAAGTGTAATAGATAAGATATAAAACTTTGGATGTATGTTTGATGCTTTCTTTTTCCAAACAACTGGAACACATGATTCCTGGATACTTTGTAAATCTAACTTCATTCTACCTTACTAGTTCACACATGAATTCCCGGGGATTTGTAAAATATTACATTTACGAAAACAGAAAGGATTTTGTTAAACCAAAAAAAAAAAGGAAGGAAACTATACATAAAACAGACTTCTTGGTGTTGATTTTCTTAAAAGCAATCGAAGTAATAACATTATTTTCTTTTCTTGCTAATAAACTCTTCCGATAATATTTTTATTTATATTTATAACTGTTTAAATGATAGTCACTCCGATTTGTGCCAAAAGAACGAAACAGGAGTTCAGAGTTATGAACAACAACAGCGTAACCATAAAGTGTACGGTACAAGCCAATCCATCTGATCTTACGTTTCAGTGGTATCTAAAGAATTCTTCCCACACAGAAGAAATCAACGGAGTTAACAAAAATAATACTCTGAACATTTTGACGTACACGCCAAGAAAAGAATCTGATTATGGAGATGTTGTCTGTCAAGCAAGTAACAGTATTGGTATTCAACAGGAACCGTGTGTTTACAAGATTCTTCCCGTGGGTAAGTCATTTTCTTTTTGAAATCCTATAAGCTCTTAATATTCACATTAATCTAAGAAAAACGTATTTAAAATTGACAGATATTTCTCAACAATGCCATCTGCGTTACTACGTAATTCACCAACAAGATGTCCAAACTTTATTCCAAGATGAATTAAAATGAAAATGAACACATATACTACTAAAAACTATGCTTTACTATCACTTAGACCCACTGTACAATTTATTTATTCAATCTGCTAGCACGAAATAAAAACAATTAAAGCAAATGCTATATGAAGACTTGCTACAATAAACTAGATATATATATTAGTTTCTGTATATCTAATCAACTTAACTACAACATTGTTTTTCTTGAAGCTTAAATTCTTGTTCGATATAATTTTTACTTTTGTTGTTTCAAACCACGTAACTCCTACTCAGAAAGTAGATAATACTCTTAAATATTTATTACATTTTTTAAAATGAAATGTTATGTAGAATTTCAGGAATAAATGAGCTGACTGTACTCAAGATACTTAGAAAATGTAAGGAACAAAAGACTAGAGTAAATTACAATAATGGATTTCCCATTAGCCCTTAGAACGCCGAAATGAGCTCAGTTGTTCATATTTGTTGAGAGTAATCCCGATGGAATACAGTCTTTGTTAATTATGTTTATGTTTTAGAAAAAGAGTTTAAATATAACATCTAATAAACCTATCAATCTGTTTTTAAAACTAAATAAAATGGAGCTAATTCAAACTTTATATAATCTAAGTTCATTGTATACATACTCGTCCCGAGTAAACTTTAAGGGTTTGTTTTATTCCAAACTTCTTCCAAACTTAAAAACGCTATTAAACCTTAGTTAGATGCGTATAAACGTATCTAGGGTATTTATTATTTATACACTAAAAAACTGCAATATAAAGCTTTCGTATTTATTGCATTATAAAACCTTATCCTCTTAAGATCCCCTAGCTAAGTTGACCAGAACTACACATACTACATTTCTGGATTGTTCGTAGTACGTGTACTTATTACCTAATGTTAACTTATATGTTTTATATTATGAAATGTAACAAACTAACTAATATATTTTAGGCCTTTATTTTAATTATATATATATATATATATATTTTAGGTAAGCCAGAATTTCTGAGAAACTGCATTGTTTTTGACCAGTCCGCCACTGGGTTCTCAGTACACTGTCAGGAGGGCTACAACGGAGGTCTCAACCAAACCTTTCACATGGAGGTATACTCGATAACAACAACAACGAAACACAGACTCGTCGCAAACATAACACAAGACACAATACCTGTTTTTGGTGTTGAGGTCTTACCGGCAAGCTCGAACTTTATTGTTGTGTTGTACGCCTCTAATAACATTGGAAGAAGCAAACCAGTCTCGTTAAGGGCACGTACGTCCTCTGCAAAACAGGAACTAAAGGGTAAGGTGAACGTATACCATCCTTACAAGACATCTGAGCACATAAGAACCATATTACTATTACTTACAATGCAAATTCTAACCGTAAAATCATATAAAAATACATTTTGATAAAAAGTGGCGACACACAACTCCAGTATCAAAAACTGCTATAAGTTGTTATTTAATACGATGGCTACGTTACCAAATATATAATAAAAATTATGTAACAAATGAGTTAAATAAGAATGGATTGTAACAGTTATGTAACAAATGAGTTAAATAAGAATGGATTTAAGAATGGATTATAACAATTGTGTAAGAAATGAGTTAAATAAGAATGGATTATAACAATTGTGTAACAAATGAGTTAAATAAGAATGGATTATAACAATTATGTAACAAATGAGTTAAATAAGAATGAATTATAACAATTGTGTAACAAATGAGTTAAATAAGAATGGATTGATTTGTTACATAATTGTTACCATTCTTATTTAACTCATTTCTTACACAATTGTTATAATCCATTCTTATTTAACTCATTTGTTACACAATTGTTATAATCCATTCTTATTTAACTCTCCATATTTCTCCAAGAAGGAACTATGTGTTTGAAACTATTGAAAACAATTCATTAAAAAGCTACATAGAACTGATGAGTCTTCCTACTCAGGAATCATCTTTACAGGCGACATGATTTTAGTAGAATCTTTTGTTCTCATATTTTAATGTAAGTTTACACGTTTATTTTCTAAAACTGAATTCACTAAATGTTTTTACGATACTAGTTGTGTTGTACAAGTTTACGGGCTGAATAATACCCACCCAGTTTTTCCGATGTTAAGCGAAAAATACTAGACAAATTGTCATGAAAATGTACCATCAAGTCTTGTAAGAGATACCTGTAATAAAGGTAATTAACCGGTTATTGGTTGTCTACGTTCCCACATGTATTTGTATATAGCATAATTTACATTTGTGAATTTTGCAAAGCTGTATAAAAGTTTTAGTGATACGTAAGTAATAAAGCCCCCCCTCGGTGGCATAGCGGTATGTCTGCGGACTTACAATGCTATAAACCGGGTTTCGATACCCGTGATGGGCAGAGCGCAGATAGCCCATTGTGTAGCTTTGTGCTTAACTTCAAATAAACAAACTAATAAAGTTATCATAATTTTCCACTTTTACTAAATTAAAAAACAGAAAATTTCTAACTTCGAAACAATTAAGAGCATAGAAACCATGTGAGAATAAATTGGTTGTAAAAATCCTGATGCTCGACAATGGGTTTTAACCTCTCGAGACCCGGAAAATTATGCTTTCAGTAATAACACGAGCAGCCCGACATTTCCAGGTGATTAGGGCACTCGTGAATTTATTGAAACTAGTACGTTGATCAGTAAAACCCAGGACTGATGGTATGATTATGCATGGATATACTTATATTTAGATTAACAAACACTTAATACATTTCAAAAAAGGCCCGGCATAACCAGGTGGTTAAGGCGCTCGACTCGTAATCTGATGGTTCGATCCCTGTCCAACCAAACATGCTCGCCTTATCAGCCGTGGGGGCGTTATAAAGTGACGGCCAATCCCATTATTCGTTAGTAAAAGAGTAGCTCAAGAGTTGGCGGTGTGTGGTGATGACTAGCTACCTTCCCTCTAGTCTTTTACTATCAGGTACATTTGTACATTTGCTGTTGTTTTAAACTTATATTAAAGATTTTCTTCATTACCCATTCAAGCCGTCTCCAAGCATTATTAATATAGTAGTCACTAGCCAATCATCTACGCTCATTTCATCTTGTTTACGTCCATAAACCTAAGAACTATGCACAAATATTTTAAAAGACCAGTTAGTTCCTAACACTACTTTATTTTACTCCACTTTAAATATATTTTCCAGCAATGTTGTTAAAGCACCCGTTTGTTGTAATATCATATCTCACGGCCATGATTGCAAAGTGCTTCACAAAAGATGATTTCAATGGCTGGAACATTTCTTAGTAAGGTTCCATTTGATGTTTACAATATATCATCCCTTGAGAGCGGTATGTGATTGTGAAAGCATTTACATTTTGCTGTATTTTCTAACTTTTACCCAAGTACACTGCATGAGGAACTTAAGAATGAATCGCTCCTATATGGATATCTTATTCTTTAGGAAAAAATGGAAAATAAGTATATTTGTAAACCGGGATACGTAAAATTTAGTTTTACTAAGTTTTGAAGATAGTTATTATATGATTCCTTCTTAAAGGATAGTGAAAGTAATCATCATTAGTTTATTATTTTCAATCACAATTCAGCTTAGAATTGAAACAAGACGATCGTTATTTAACTAAAGATGTAATTATTTTTACTATGTATAAACCGTTTTTCATCTTAATCTTCATATCACATCTGGTTCTTTTCAACATCTTGCTTCAAAATACTCACATAGAATATTTGATTTTGTGTCTCAGTATTATCTCGTGTATAAAATAAATGATTAATTTATTCAGGTTAAGATTTACATTTCTATAAAAGACTATTTCGATATAAGAGTCAATTTAAACATATTGTTTACAGTATCAAAATTATTCAGAACATTACATTTTTTTCTCCAAAAACATACTTGTCTTGAATAAAATCAATCAACATTTTTACTGCTCAATGTTGAAGTACTTCATAGAAGATGTGAAAACGCTTAACAAAAATATATCGTTTTTACAGTAAAAGATTGCTGAATTAACCTTGATTACGTTTCAAAGAAACCGCAGGTGCGAAACTTTAGCTTTTCACGTTACTAAATAAACACTGTAATTTTCCAGATCGGGCAGATGACGTGGATGTCCACAAGTTAGTAGCAGTAATTACTGGGGCCGTTGCTCTCGTTTCTATTATTGCGGGTATGGGTTTTATCATTAGTCGGTACCAGATAAGGTGCCACTCTCGAGTGTCAGGTACGTTGATGACTTCTTTACTTGGACACCAACGCTCTATTTTATGAGAACTCAACCAAGTAATTGCTTATTATTTGACACTGAAAGGAAATGAACGTGTTCGTTGGTCTATTTGCAACCAGAAGCAGTTTAAAGTACTCTACTTTAAAAAAAGTCATAAATACAAATATTTTACTACTACTTAATTTAGTGGATAAATTGAGTTAAAAATAACAGCTTATAAAATCAAAGAAAGGCATAATGAAGTTTACGATTTTTAGGTCATTTATTCTGAATGTCGGTAATTTATTTAAAACTCTAATAGCTTCTGCAAAAACACACAAACACCAATGTATATCAAACCAACATGATTTTTTTACATGTAAGGATTTAGTATTTGGTAACCTATCAGTTTATTAATATGCGTGTTCTCAAACGTGAGGTATTAGAAGCTAGAGGACGATTAGTAGTTAATTAAAACGTTCCTTTCGTAATTTTGAAGTGTCATATAAATCAATAGCTTTATTGTGCTTAGCAAACACACGATTTTCTTTGGGAATTTTTTTACTTTAACCATATACAAGTGAATGACACAGAGGTGTAAGAGTATATATATTTTCCCTGTAAAAAAGACATAGAGAGTTTTTATATATAGCTTTTTGAGATTGATCATTGCTTCTATAAGTGCTTCCGATGGCTTAGCGGCAAGCTAGATGATTTATATGTTAAACATATGGGTTCGAACCCAGCGGTGGTAATAAAGAGATAGCTCATTGTGCATCTTTGAACTTAACAACAAACAAAAGTCCAAAAATGTTCTGATAGTTAAGCAAGAACGTTCGTAGCAATACACGTTCTTGCTTTCTTGTTTAATTGAACCGGCATCTATGGCTTGTTTAGCCTATCACGAGTAAAATAGCCTACAGGAAAATACCTTCCTGTGAGGTGTCTTCAATTAATCAACTTTTGATCCTGGTGTTCCTTCACCCCAGGCATTGTAAGCAGATACTATATTTTCTGATTGTAGCGAAAGTATTCTATTTAATTACTGACAATTAATGTTCTCATCTAATACCTGGAGGTTCTACAAGTAAGTACTTAAGATAACCTTCAGTTAAAGTAATTTTCTCTTCTAATGCCTGAAGGGTCTACAAGTAAGTACTTAAGACAACCTTCAGTTCAAGTAATGTTCTCATCTAATACCTGGAGGTTCTACAAGTAAGTACTTAAGACAACCTTCAGTTAAAGTAAT